TTCAGACAAGAGCTTCGTTCAAAACAAAAAAGCCTGCTGGCTTGGCACATATAAAACTCATCAGGTATCAGCCTATTAAGAGTCCCAGTGTCGTCCTCTCATATCAGTTGCACTTCAAGTCATATCCCCCGTGGTAACAGTGAGGAGAGTTCTTGGGATGTCACTCCCCTTGGAAGGTAACATAATCAGTGTGTGACGGTCTACTCACCCAATGTAGCCATCTCCCAAAGAACAACACCGAAAGACCAACTATAGAGAAAAGCACAAAGGCCATAAATATATCCACTGCATAAACACTATAAATTTTTCTTCTCTTCTTTCTACTTGATGAACTTAAGGGGAAAAGGGCGTGCCTCCACTTTTTCGTGCCTTCGCGCGTGACTGAACCCTATGACACCAGGGGCCCGTTTCTCGAAAGTCCCGATAATTAACGGGCCCGTAAAGCTGTTGTTGTTTACATGCAAGGTAGTAGTTTCAATAGTTTTTCATCTAGCATGATAAAACTATCAGTTAATGAAACACAATGGAGTAGTTTGCTAGCCAGAACCCGCGCTCTTCTTCTTTTCGATTTGAAAATTTGATTTCGGGCCCGAAAAGTTACCGGGACTTTAGAGAAACGGCCCCCCGGGCCTCAGACGCTCAAAGCCCTTAGTAAATGGCCTAACAAGGTTAATAGAGTAGGGAAATCAATACCAATTTACGTTACGCGTCTGTCGCATCTTCGTAAACTTTTCCTGGCAAAGAAAAGCTTCTAAGTGATCTTTACATACACTCTGATTTAAAAATTCAACCGACCCCGCTCTCGCTTTTGAATGTGAAAACTATATATAGTCCTGAGTCAAAATTGCGCTGACAAGTACGAAATTACCCACTATATTAACCAGTGGAATTCTAGATCGGTTTGAATTCAACCCACTGATCACGATTTTTAGGGTAGCTGAGGTTTTCTGAGCAGCAATGTATCGAAATATGTTTAAAAGAGTGGGAATCTTTTATACGTACACATCACTTTTGGTAGTGTAAAGGCCTTGATAGAGTGATTCTGGGGCCATCCATTTCACAGGAAGTTTTTTGGACTTCGCTGAGCTGCTCACATCTTCATAGATTTGTCTCATCAACCCAAAGTCTGACACTTTGATTTAGTTGTCATGGCCAACAAGAACATTACGGGCAGCAAGGTCTCTGTGGACAAGATTGTTTCGGCGAGATGATTCTAATTTTAAGAAGGAAGGGGAAAAAATTAAAATAAGTACCATAATACTTCAGTTACAGGGCTATTACTGCCTAAAAAGGCATGGGTGAAGGCGAGAAAATTAGGGGCAAACAATTACTAAACTAAATTACTAAACGAAAAATACTAAACTGAACTGATCTGAACGACTGATTCAAGATTATACGAAACATGCCAAATTTGGTTCGATCGACTAAGACAATTTCTCTACTAAAACTAATTTGACATTCTAATGAAAAAAATCAAATCATTCTTCATCTAGAAAATTAACCCATTTGTCCTTTATTTCTTGCTTGTGAAATAGTCTGAAACCGATCTTTGAATGATGAAAACAGAAACTGAATCGAAGCAACGTCGCTAAGAAAATAATCATATAGTAATTACCATTCCTTTAGCTATTTGCCAAGCAAGTAAAAAGAGTTGTTTGGTTCGAAAGCTCTCCTCCTCGTATTTTTCGTCACTGCTGAGATCCTCGTTTTTTTTTTTCCGATTACAGGCGGCATGGCGGGGAAAGGCTTCGCTTGACCTTTTCCTGTTGACGCTTGGCTGCTGAGTAGTTCTTTGTCCGTTACTTTCCACGTCCCATCCTTAGTAAATTTACAAAAAAAATCAGTTATAATGGCCTACCCTAAACAACTCGAAGAAACCGTTTAGATCGACTCAATCGCTAAGGCGCAGCTTTCGCGCAGCCAGAACCCGGCCTTCCGAAAGGCCTGGTCGAGGTTGTACAGCCGCTTTTTAAAAAGACTTGAACGCCCTTGTGGACGGCCATTCTCCGGGCGCTGGGGTTTGCGGTGAGGGTTTCTCATCCAAGAATGGGATTCAATTCAGTTTTTTTGTTTCAGGCCATGTTTGAACCTCTTCAGTGGGTGTCTAATCCTACGCGCATCGGTAGCCAGGTCAGAGAAGAAGACTATCTTCGGGAGGCGCGCGTCGTCCGTTCGAACCACATGTCCAACCCCCCGCAGCTTTGGTTTCACGATGAGTGCCTTAATGCATGGCATGTTGGCTCTGCGCAGCAATTCTGTCTTGGAGAATGTATCTTCCCTGGAGATACCCGTAACCGCGTGTGCTTGGGGCTCCTGATAATCTTCCAAAGATGGAACGCTTCGTCAAATTTGTTCACAGCGACGAGATTTTCCTAGGCACTCTTAAGGATGTCAGATGGTTTTTTCTTGTTCATGGTTGCAAAGTACATATCTGCACGCCTCTTGCCTTGTCCTTTCGCGAGTTTTTCCACGTTCAGTTTAAAGGCCTCCACAGCAGCTTCTGACTCGAGCTTCTTATACTGGTACGGACTCGGTAAAGTGCCGAACTCACGTTGATAACAGCATCGCTGAACTGAAACAACAACGAAACCTGTAAGTAACGCTCCAGCTAGCAAGAGCAACGCTGCCGTCTGTGAATTTTTTCCCGCGTTCGCGTAATCTGCTTCGATTTGTAACTTTTGCGCGGCTGAGGCATTGATTAATTTAGCTGCTTTCGTTCCTCCGAGAGCGGCGCAGATGTAATAGTCACGCTGCAAGAGCGCCCAGAAAATCCACATGAACCCAGACAGAGAACTTTGGAATACGATTTCCACAAGAGCTTTGCTGCAAGGCCATCTTGGAAACAAACAACAGCAGTACCGTTTTGCTCCTCGCTTGTACGGACCTTCGTAATAACAGCATCCACGAACATGGTCCCAAAATCCGCTGTGAAGAAAAATCGTCGCCATAAACAAAAACAAAGTAGGAATGATGAAGAAACAGCTGGAGTAGAAAACAAAGTTGTCTGGAGGACACTGGAAAAAACCTTCACTCTGTACGACGGCATTCAGGCCAAACACCAGCAAGGCGACAGTTGTGTTTCTTATGGAACCTGAGTTGTTTTGGAAGGCCGATTTCACATTTGTTAAAAGCGAACTAAGCGTGAGCGCCATCTTCTATTCTAGGCGAGACTAATTTATTCAAGTTCGTCTAATGGTTTGTGCGTCTCAGATTTATTGTCTGATCTCGCATATCACGCGACCAGCAATAGAAACCACGGAACGAGGAAGAGTTTCAATTTTTGACCATAAAAGTCAAGAATAGAAAATATGGGTATAATTCTTCGTCCCTGACTTTATCGTTTTTAATCGTATGAGCGCATTAGCTCAAAATGGAAAACAAAAAATCATTTAAAAAAATCATTTGGTTTTTCAATACCCATTGTTCGAATGATCACGCTTGACAGTTACTAAGGACTCGCAGTGTGTATTAACTTTTGAGACCATGAACTCTTTAAATAGCAACGATCCTAGGTTACCGACAGTTTGGGATTTTAACAAAACTGTCAAAGAGTTCTGTGATCCAAAGATTTCGATTACTATTTTCTTACAAGTTACTTACAAATAGTAAGCTGCAACTTAGTAAACCGCAATGTGCGGGAAGTTGCATTTGTAAACTCTAAAAGTTTTTTATTTTTATTTGTCGAGAAAGGGGCGATGATATTAGCGTTACTTGTCAAAGATTGTCACACAGACGAGGAAAGAAGAGTTGTAGTTTGTCGACAACAAAAATTGACGCTTGTGTTATCGACGAAAACACTCTTTTTTTAGAATGTTATTTTCCAACCCACGGACTGAATATTCTTCGTATAATAAGCCCCAAGGCTTCTGTTTGAGCTTTCTCGCCAGAAAAATACTTTTAATTCTTTTACTTACAATCTACGCCTCTTTTATCTTTAAATAATATTTTTTTTATAATATATTGCATGTCTGTATGTATATCATTATGTTTTTTTTTCTGGCAAATAAGTAAGTAAAAATTCTTACTTTTCTGCCGATTTGAGGCTGACAAAAGTCTTGTCTTATCCTAAAATTATAGCTTTTTTTTCCATTTAGAATGTATTGGGGTATCAATCATATTTAGTACAGGTTTTCCCATTTTGTTGGCTAGTCTTGCCGTTTACAGAAAGGAATAAGTTATTAATCGGGGCACCCAACGATGGTTTCCTTTTTAGGCTATCCAGAGTACTTTTTAGATATCTAGAAATGCATTCTAAACGACGCGTACAATTTGTATCTGTTTGGTCATCCTTGGGGAACTTGAGTCTTTTCGAAATTACAAAGGCTTGAGTATTGTTTTTCCGACATTTTAGATGAATTTTGACGTATTACGAAAGAGAGAAATTTTCTGATTCCTCTCGCCACCACATTTTTGAAACCGAAAAGAATAGGTTCCTTTTTTCTACGACAAACAGCCTAACTTGGAAAGTAAAATGTGAAAAATAAAATTTCAGAAAACCGTGGAGAATTTTATAAGAAAGGCTTGGAAAATTGTACGTGAATAGAACGGTCATCTATAAATTTTTAGCCGTCCTCAAGGAATAGAAAATTATAGACAAATTTTAGAGAAAATGTAAGGGCTTTCTTTCCCCAGAGACAAAGAAAACCCGCTGTAATAATGATGGTGTCCGTATTAAGCAAGTGTCCGCAAAGCGGAGTTCGACTGTACATGGCAGCGTAAATCCACGGATTGACACAGGTTTTAGTGAGAATCAGAGGGATGTAGCATAAGCTTGTTTCTTTGAAAATATTTCGATAAAAAAAAACTGCACTGAGAACCATGAACGTGTTATAATTTCATAACTAAACTTATATCAGTTACATGTAACAATACTATTGCTAATTATGTCATATTGTGATTCAAGAATAACTAGTATTCATTTTTGCTAAAAATATATAAATTTCATAATTTTTATCATTTACTGAGACAATTGTCGATGTGTTTGTTGATGTTAGAATTTTTCAATCCGCTCGCAGATTTCTCCCCACAAACAGGGCAGAGAATTTCCTTCTCCATTTGGTCCTTAGAATCTTTGTCAGTCCATTTCCCAAACGAAGACAAAATGCTCTTGACGACGCTTCAGAACTAGTTCGTTTCAAAGAGTTCTTTCCTTGAAGATTCTCTTTCGAAAGGGGTTCCGAAAGGTGGCGCACAAGACCATTACACTTAGCAGTACCTTTGAAAGGTCCTTTATTTTCCGGGAGCTCTTCCTTTTCTCTTCCCTTCGATTTAAAGTATATTGATTTGACTTCCTTCTTACTTACTTTGATCGTTGCTTGTTTGTCATCCGTGCTGTTTTTGGCGTTGTTCTCGATTTCTTGATTTTCGATCTCATTGCAGTCATTTTCCCCGCTCTTTTCCTTAACATCCTGATGTTCTGATGCACTTTTATTACTCTCAGGTGATCGTTCAACAGTCTTCGGTTTAAAGAAATTCTTTATAGTTACAGGAGGAGTAGTAGCCTTAATTAACGTCCTTTGGTTGATGGGCGTTTCCGCTTCCTCAAACGCTCGGCTGGCTTTTGATGGCTGTCTAAGGGAAGGTTCTGTTGAACTCAAAACACCATTAACGGCTTGGAAACTAAAATTTGATAGCATTTTGTTTTGAATAAGGGTATGGGCATGATTTTCAGTTGAACATGCCTAGCGAGCGTAAAAATCGCATCCAGTCTGAGGATTAATGAGAGAGGGAAAATTTTATATATTTAGGCATGACAAAATTCAAGGGAACATTGGTACTTAGAAATAACATCTCATAGGCATGAAAAAAATGGGTTCATGCCCTCGCAGCCCAAAATTGACCCAGCCAACCTTAGGTCCCAGATCTCTCGCCGGGTTGATCATTCATTCCCAGTTTTTGCTCCTCTGGTTTGGCATGCCGGGCATGCCGATGGTGAAGCCACTTGGTTTGGCATGCCCGGCATGCCAGGCAACAAATTGGCATGCCCAGCGAGACTGATTTTGATGTTCGCTTCAGCATCATATCCTGAGAATCACATATAATCGCCAAATACATCTTAGGGAGCTTGAAGTTACAGGTTTCAAGCCTGGCAATAAATGCAGAATATAACAAAAAAAAGTCATGTTTGTCACAATGTGTGTCACGGGATCGACTGGCAAAACTGAAGACAGAAGCCTGGATTTATAAATAAAAAGCACAACAAAACAACATTATTCATGCATAAAATAGAATACTTAACTTGCAATCAAAGATCAATCCTTTTATTTCAAACCGATACTGACATTTCTGGGTCCAGATTTAAATTTGATCGGGGAAAAGCGTCTTAAACAATAAGATAACAAATCTTCTCAGTATGAACTTATCCATGCTTAAGTTTTATGGCGTCGGAATGTTTCCCGGCCGACAGCATTAACAGACCGGTGAAAATTAAGCTTACCAGGTCTTTCAAGTCAGTACGAGAGTACGACGTTAATACTGCAAAGACGTTCTGATTTGGTGAATTTGGACTGCCTTCTCAGAGAGATTTTGCTTAGTTTTTCAGTGCGCTCCATGTCGGCTATGCGAATCTCGCAAACTGTTTTACTCCTTGCTGACGATAGTCCTTTGAGCAACGTCATCTGCGTCATTCGAAGATACCCCGAGCACGCACGAAATGGGCCGAATTTCCGCAGAAGTGTTTTCGGATGACGATGAATCTAGTTTGTTGTAGCGTGGCAGTTGTCGCGTCACGATGTCGTCATGTCTCTTCGCACTTGTTTGTCTTTTTTTTCTGCGGTGCATGGTTGAGATGTTGGTGAATGCTGAACAAGAAATGGACTCTGCGAGAGACTGTAAGTACAAATTTAGTATTAATTTGGTAAAGAAAAAGCCTGAATATTGAACAAATGCCGTGAATTAGCCTTTAGGCATTCAGTTTATCTTGCTGTTGAGCATGCCTAAGAACTCCGGCATAAGTGGTTGTCATCTCGTTCACTTCGGATTGTTTCTGTTTGTGTCTTGTAATCTTCTTCTGCTGCTAAGAAGACTAGAGAAAACTTCAATAATAAGAAACCAAAGCTAAAAAAAGTCAGATATAATTTTATAGCTCGAGTATAATTATTTTTGGCACCTACGGTCATATTTTTTTCACTGTACTGGTAAAGTTACTTATTTTTGCTGCATAGTTTGACTGTTGTTTGAAAGGCAATCAAACGGATATTACAATCACTTTTGGAGACAAAATAAAATATCCGTAAATCAAATGCCAAAATCAGATTTGGATTTCGCTTTAAAAAAATGAACATGCCGCGTGTGTCAATGCAAAGTTGTAAACAACTCAATAAAAGCAGTCTGTGAATGTGCGTTTAGGTCCACAAAACTAATTTTTCTTTTGGACATCTCATCCAAGCAAAGACTTAAGGCTTACATTGCTTGTCTACGAGTGTACTACAAATTGCTTTGCTACAGTAAGCCTCTGAGAGGCGATTCTGGTAAATTTATAGGACGCTAAAATGCAAATAATTCTAAGCTTAAACAACCTGGCTCGGTCCGACTTTTGAATTACAAAATGTTCACGTTTGCCGGCTCTACTTTCAATGAACATGGTTTTTGAAATGATTTTGTACTATTTTATGATTAAATTATGATTGGGTTATAAAGCTTTTAAAACGGACGAAAACTAAGCTAATAAACATGTTCAATGTAAAAAACTAAGATTTAGTCGCTTTTTCAACTTTGCTTTGTGGGCCGAAAAATTTACCTTTACGCAAAAACAAAAGCAAACAATGAGGCTTTTATTCGACATATTTTCTGAGAATTTTATCTGATCAATTTAATGTCACTAGCATTATTTTCGTATAGGAATTTTCCTAATTATGTGAGCTTTTAATTTAATAATTTTGATGCTCTATAAACTTCTCATTTGATAGCCTCACTTTTTTATACACCGATTGAGAAACAAATTCGCACTCGTTAAATCCTGTTTTATGACCTATTTATTAGAACACTAGGTAACATACGAAATGGTGTAACCGGACAGGCTTTAACCTTTGGTCCTAATTTATTTTTTTTCTTCGCAACCCCTAATCAGTTGACGGGCCGTGAGAGAATATCGCCACAAAAAGATGCGAAAAAGTTTTCGCTGAGTTTCCTTCACATATTCCGGCTTTATATGGGTCTACACCTTACCTGTTTAAAAATGAAACTGTTGTTCTATTAAGTGTCAGTCAAACTCGGTATAATCTTGACTTGCAAATCCAAATGCAAAGGTTTATTTCGCAGTAGAAAAGCGTGTAAACATCATCGAACAACGCAATGTAAATTAGCTAATGTGAAACCACGTTTCTTTCACTTTATTTACCATGCATTTATCTCAATTGCACACTCTTGTGAAATTAGCCTCAGACAATTAGTTGCGACCTTTAACAGACTCAACAAGCCAGTATGAAAATATGTTAAGAGAAGCTGAGTCTACATGTTTTATTTCTTTTTTTTTCATATTGCCCTTGCATGTGTTAACATTCCATTTCTTTTTTGTTACAGGTAACTTCCAGACATGACGAGGAGATAATTACTTTTCTAGAGAGCAATTCTTTGATACTGTCAGTTATTACTGACTTACTTTTAGTTAAAAACAAAGAACACAGACACTGGTAATGACACAAAAACATTAATCCCTGGCAAGCCTACAAAACAAGAAAGAGGAACTCAGACTTTCTAACAGCTTTTCTAACGTAGGGAAAATTGCGTTAGAGAGATTTGTAATTGCAACGTTATATTCAAGCACGTTGCATTGTCAAACATCATAATTTACTGAATAATGAACAATGATTTTGGGGCTTAGCTCAGTTTGTAGTGAACTTTGAAAGATATTCTATAACCTTGTATTTTTAAAAGCTTTCATGGAACATAGATGCATTTTATTATACAATGAAAATAGTCTCTGTCTCTCTTTTTACTGATTTCAGTCAATTCCATTTTATTCGCAATGTGAAATGGGAATCCTATTAAAGAGTCATTAAAAGGGGTGAGGAGTTTTTACAATCCCCCAACGGGTCATCTCCACGATGACGCTGTTTTATTACTACGGACGAATCCCTCAGGGTTTTACTTGCTTGTGAAAATTAGAGCTTTTGTTATTTAAAGTTCTCTGGGACAACCAAATCTATGAAAACGAAAGGAATAGCAATGACGTCATCGTGTAACCGTACATCAAAAGATAAGCACTGTGATCTGTTTAGTTTTTTTTTTTGTTTTTAGCCAGGCTTAAAATATCTGTAGATTCAAGGAATTATAACCTGTGCGTTGAGAGCATGCCAGAGACCAATTTTGGCATGCCCGGCATGACCCAGATTATGGCACGCCCGGCATTCCAGAGAATTTAGCATGCCGGGCATGTCAGAAAATTTGGCATGCCCGGCATGCCGGAGATTTTGCTTGGTATGAATTACTTATTACTAGAACCTAGGCTTCTCGCGGCCTGGGTGAGAAGATCACAGAACCTCAAATTATGCTTACAGGGCATGCGAAATTCTGTTGCATGCCAATTTCAATGCAAAACCACTCTGGGGCCACCCCCTCTATTACCAGTGAGCAAATCATTGACGATAGGCACGCGAAAAATCCTTGCATGCTAACCAACAATGAAAACATAGCAGAAATGTCCTCAATTGCTGAGTCATGCCCTAGGGGAGGCTTTAAAATACAGAATTTCCTGACATGGATGAGGGAATTTTCCGTAAACAGCATGTGATCATGCCGGCTAGGACGTATTGCCTCCGTATTGCCCCTTTTTACAGCTAGCTAGGCTCATTTTTAGGTTCCATGGCCTGAAATGACGAAAAATTCATGCCCTAAATGTAAAAAGTCCTAAAACGTCCTCGAAATTTTAGTTTCCAAGCCGTTCATTTTGTTTGTCCTAGAAAATAAAGGAAAAACAACAACAACAAAAAAAAGATAATCGTTTAAGTCAAAGCAATACCTAACCCGGTTCAAAGTTGAAGCCTAGAAGCAGTAGTAAAGCATGATAAAAATTTTAACCAAACTCTCGCTAACGTCCCCAGAAACGGGGGCAATGAGAGAAGGCTGAACTCGCAGGTTATTAATAATCTGAAATAAATATCAGATAAGTAACAAGATCATGCTGCGATGTTAAAATAAAACTTATAGAGTGTTTTCACATGACGTCACGGCGGCCATATTGCTGTCCCAAAACAATGAAACGGCGGCCATGTTGGTGTCCCAAACCAGTCCTCTGGGAGTTGAACTCTTTTCTTATGCAAATGCTTTCTTTTGTTCCAATAAATTTGCATAGATGCTGGCCACGTGAGTGAAAACACTCTATTCTCTGTTGTGTACTACGAAAACCCAGTATCCACAGACAAATAAAATCTTCAGACTTTTTCTTCACGTATAGAGAATTTTGTAAAAGATCAACTTTTGGTTACATTTTATTAATTCTTATAACCTTTTCTCTTGGTTACGTATTGATATTATGGATCATTACACGCTTCTGGGAAACTGCCGACCTACCCCTCCCCTAAGCCAACATTTTGCCCTAAGTGAGAAGTACAAAGTCATGTATTTTTCGATGTTATTTTTGATGTTTACATTCACGTGGATAACAGAGAAAGAGCTACAGCCGAATTCTGTAGGAAGAAACACATGACAATTCAAAGCGGCGGTGAGACAATGAGAAATGCTAGCGGCCAGCAAGGAACGCCCAGCAAGGTGAAAATGAGGGGCAGTGAAAAATAAAAGCGAACATGAACACAGGAGACAAAATATTGGGTAAGCACATACGACAATTCCTCCATAAAAATAATGTGTAGCTAGGACGTTTGACGATTTAGTCCAACAAAACAGCGTTGTAGTTGTGCAAAACAACGGCAAAGAAAGACAAAAAGCGTGCTGCACGTGTAAATTTGTTTTTTTGCTAATTAGAAAAAAAAGTGTGGTGCACGTGCAATTTGTTTTTTTGCTAATTAGAAAAAAAAGTGTGGTGCACGTGCAATTTGTTTTTTTGCTAATTAAATCTATTAAACTTGATGCCATTTTCATTGCCGTCCCCGTTTAGCATTACACGTTTTAATTTTTCTTGTTTATAAGTATTATTAACCAGAGCTTCGCTTTTAGCCCTGGCTAAGTCTATTTAGTAAAATCCAACTAGTGGTCTATTATCAATGCTGCGTTCTGATTGGTTGAGCTACTACTAGGCTATATGTTATAGCCCACTAGTAGCGAAAAGCGCGGGCTTTTTGGCGGCAAAAAAAGGATTAAAGTCTAGCTTTAACCAGCTAAACCTGTTTTGACTCGATATTTTTGACCAGCTAGTTGGATTTTACTAAAAAAAATTATTCCTCTCGCCCTCATGGCCTCTAAGTCGATAGCCCATTTGGCCTTCGGCCTCATGGGCTATTGACTCAGAGGCCATGAAGGCGAGAGGAATAATTGTTAAATATTATTGTTAGGAGAAAATTAATGTTGGTCACTCTTGGGTAAGAGGAGTTATTGATGATGACTGAGTGTGGTTATCAATCGTTCAACGCTGCTAAAATTAAGGACCGGTCGGGAACTGTTCTTTAACACGAGTGCTTGGCCAAAAATGTGTGATGAGAATTTTTTACACTTTTCTTTATACAAATCAATATTTACTTACGATAACGGCGTCGAGCAACTTTTGCTCCTTCAGAAACAATGTAGCTTCCGGTATGAGTTGCTCTGGGTAACGCAGACCTACCAGTCGCTGACCGTTATCTAGCTCAACGCGGACTTCTCTCAGAGATCGACTTTCCTTGCTGCAACAAAAAGGAAAAAGAAAAACTGCTCGGCGACAAGAACCAAACACAATGACACGACCAAAACTCACGCCTCGGGAACCGAAGTCGCCAGACGGACAAAATATCAACCGCTAAAACATACTGTGAATACATTGTGCGACCATTCACATATAACCTTTTTAGCAGTGCTTCGGCTTTTATAGCGATTCATGCTTTTGATAATCAGTTCTTTTGGAAGCGAAGGGGTTAAGAGTTACTTACCTAAGACCAATTTTATCAGCATTTTTAGCCATGGCCATCTCCAACGCAGACAACAGAGGAATAATTCCACCACACAATAAATGGATCTGATTAATGCGACAGCCGACTGACAAACAAACAAAAACGGGATCTCGTCGAATTATTTACAGTTTCTGGGTCCTTCCCAACCCACCTTAACTCTCGTTTTTCCCTAACGGGTGGCTTTAGGAAAGAAACATGGGTTAGGGGTTCGGAGCTCTAGGTTGGGAGTTTTTCCAGAAACGGTGATCGGTCCAATGATTAGCCATTTTATGGTTGCCGTTTGACCTCATGTAAATATATGTGAAATTTCACTCTTGACCACAGAGTGCCCAGTCCAATTGCACTATGGGACTGTTTTGCGAGAGAAATTTTAACCCAGTTTCTTGCGCAACCTCGTAACAGCCAATGAGTGAAGCCATAGCGTCCCAAAAGGGATCAAAGTGCTCTCGACATACCAACAACCTGAACCTGACGCGCAACCCCAAAATGGCCAATACCAAGTAACCATATAAGGTATTGATATTAGAATGCTATTATGCTGTCTTTTCTTTCTAATGAACAGGTCAGGATAGGACGGAATGGAATGCGATGGTATAGGATAGGATAGGATGGGATGGGATAAAGAAAGATAGCATGACCATATCTTAATCATGGACTGCATTACCCATCAACGTTACGTATTTTTTTAAAGCTAGCCACTAACAAGTTAATAACTTTTCATTGTATCGTGTTCACTGTAAATTTAAAAAATTCGTTTTATTGCAACTGAATGTCACCATTGTATCGCGCTTTAGGTGTCCCCTATTAGATGAGGGATTCCTCTCTACTAGATATTGTATTGACACGTTCATAAAGTTTATTCGTTCATTCATTAACAAATTGTTGGAGTTATTCTTTTAAAGAAGGATTAAATCATTTTGTCGAGTCACTTCCTCGTGGTCTCTTAAGGAGACTTCTAAGAAATGCACCACTGTAATAAAGTTTTCACTTACTTTTACAAGAAGGTCCAGTCTTGCAGCCTAATCCGTGAATACAGTGATCTCTGGTTCTTTCGTACTGTGCTTTCCATCCAGCCTCTAATGAATCAAAAGTATACCACAGTATTTAGTTCCTGACCAATCAAAGTACTTGACATTTTACGAGTTTTACTTTTCGTGTAACCTGTTAAACGATTAGCAAAACATGAAGTTACAACAAAAGAATTTTTTTTATTTAATGGCTTTTATTTTAAAAGCTCTGCAACCACAACGACGACGGCAGCGAGTACGTCAAAAAATTCATTTTATGAACAAAACAATACGGCTCTGCACGTACACCACGCTTTTTAGTACATTTCTTTAACGTCCACTGCACGACTACGACATGAAATCCCCTAAAGCGACGTTTTATGGAAGACGAGACGACGACGAATTTTTATTTATCATTTTGAAGATAACTACACTTTTTGAGAATTTAGCTCCAGGAATATTCGCCTACCTTTTACAAATTAGGACGGGCTGGCACCCGTGCAGTGTACTAGATTTCAAACAAATCACAGTAAAACAGTAAAACACGCGGACAGCACTTCTGATTTCACACGGCTTCCCGTTGGTAGATACAAAAGATAGCCTGACTAGGCCCGCCTCCCTTACCTGCATCTTCCAGTGAAATCCTATTGTACTTGTGCAGAAGATCGGTTTTTTCTTCTTCAAAAGGAGACCGTCCTGTGTTTGGTCTGCACAAAAACAAAACGAAGTAAAAGCGGAAATTATCTTTGGGTAGAAATTCCACAACCGTAATATGTCGCTTATAAGCCCTGGGTTTATACATTTTCTTAAGGGTTTTAAGAGAGCTAATAAACGAAGGGGCTAATAACCGAAATAGAAAAGGCGCTTCGAAACATTCTATAGCAATGCTGAACAAGAAACCTTTAGCATTTACTGGTTTTTAAGCAAGCTTCAAAATGTCATAATAAATCGAATTCATTTTAATTCGTTTGGACGCGCCGGGAGCTTAGATCCTGGGAGGCTTAATCGCATGTACTTTATCGTTTACAGGAAGAAATCACAACTTCAAGTCTCTGAATCTGGTTAATGGAGCATACCGGATTAGTCCAGATGAAACGTTAGAGGGGAAGGTGCTTATTTAAGAGAGAGGGCAGGGCTGTATAGAGGAGTTACGGTATTTAAACCAACCAACCCACCTAAAATTTGAACTTTTAGGGCGTTCACATCGGTGAAAAGCAGTTTTTCGCCCTTACATTTACCTTGTAATGTTAAAAAGATGGGTGGAAGATTCCTTTTGTATCGCTAGAAGGTAAAGCCGTCTCCCTTTCTGTTCCCTTTTGGAACAATAAAACCCGTCAAACTTGTTTTTTCCATTGTCTTGTACCTGCTTCACTGCCGAATCCCAGCCTATTCCGCGATCAACGTTTACAGTCATGTGTCTGAAAAAAGAAATGAAAATAACTGAGAAGGGATTTCAGGTTATTCCTTCGTATGCATTGCGCATTACTTCACGCTTGCATGATAAGCCCGCGCCAACAGATCATAACAGGACGCACGCACTTAAAACAAGGCGGCTTTTGCCTTGACACTGGAGTGGAGCTCCCCAGAGAGTTAAATCTTCATTTTCTCGTAAACGAGAATGGTGACCTTTTATTTTTTCTCTTCTTTTAAAATGAGCAGTAACGTTCTTCTTCTTGAATAAATTAAGACTAATTTCTACCGTAGAAAGAGAGACGACCGTCGGAAACGTGTTCAAAACATGTACTCATAAATATTATCATAGTCGGGAGCTTTAGCAATAGGGACCTTAAGATCCGAGGACGGCGACGGCAGAGAAAACGTCGCTGAAAAAGTGAATTCGTGTTCTTTCAATCTTCATCGCGATTACTCCAAGTCACTAACTTCTTCAAATGTAGGCGAATCATCCTAAAGTTGAATTCCTAAGAACCATAGCCAAGTACAGAAAGAGAAAGGAAATTTAGCCGTCGCTTGTGTACTTCCTCTGTACAACGTTAAATTAGGTATTTTCACGTCGTAGTCGTGCAGTGACGGCAAAGAAATGTACAAAAAAGCGTGATGCACGTGCAAAATTGTTGTTTTGCTAATTAAACCTATTGCTTTTGTGGCGTTCCCGTTGCCGTTGCCGTCGTCGGATCTTAAGGTCCCTAATGACGACGGCGACTGCAACCAGAAAGGTAAAAAATCATAGGGCTGCGTTCAAACGGACGCAACAACTCCCAACATTGTTGCGCCAACAATGTTGGGAGTTGTTGCGCGCATGTTGGCAGTGGTGTGCAAACGGATGCAACAACTCCCAACAATGTTGGGACCTGCAGTGCATCGTGGGAAGCATACAACCCATGAGTCTTTGTAAAGCATGCGTAATGAGCGTGCGTGGCCCCAACAATGTTGGAAGAGTTGTCCAAAAGGATCCAACATTGTTGCGCTTCGTTTCGGCGATCACGCAAGAAAAGAAATGTTGGGAGTCGCTTGCTGAAAAGTTTGACCGGTTTCAAACTTTGCGCAACAACACGCAACAACATCCAACAACATCCAACAGGATGTGCAAACGGACGCAACATGTAACATCCAACAATGTTGGGAGTTGTTGGCCAACAATGTTAAGTTGCGTCCGTTTGCACGGGGCTTAGGTTTATATTAGCTAAACAACAACTTCGCACCTGCATCACACATTTTTCTACATTTCGTTGCCGTCACTGCACAACTACGATGTGAAAACGCCTAATTTCACGTTTATGGAGGACGTAAACAAGCGAGGAAGAATTTTTTTCCTTCTCTATCTAAACTTGAGTGCGGTCCCCAAGAAATTCACCCGCTACAGTTTGACATTGTCATTGAACTGGAATAAGCACGCCAAAAAAAACCACTCAAATTCATTTTAAAAGTGACGTTTTCGCTGCCATCGCCGTCGTTGATGCGGAAGCTCCCTTGGTATCTCAAGGAATCACTGCGCACTTACAAGTTGCTCCCGCTCCAAAACGAGTATAGGGATTGGGGACCCCGCGATTTTATTTCAAACAACATCCAATCGGCAAAGTTTGACAAAAATCTCACTGCAGGTTCTACTACAGAAGAATGACCTTAAGAATTGACTTAATGGTAACTTCGGGCTAAATTTGCAATTGCTTAAATTGCGTTCACGACTGAGAAGGGTCATATCTTCATTAAGACTACTTACTTTGTTTCCATGAGGCCTCTTTGAAAATCGCTAAAAACAGGCTGGGCAGTGCCGACCATCGTAATTGAAGATCCAGATACGTCTGTCACGCCTTCACTATACCTAAGAATTATCACGCAATATTATTCATTTGTGTCCAGGGTATGAATGCAAGACCAATGTTTTTTCGAGGATGCGTGCGACACAAATCTTATCGTGCAAGAGCCAAGCTGTATTGACCCTAAGCTTAATATGAGAGATCGACGCTTCGGGGTGAAGAACTTAGTTTCTTAGAAATTAACTGGTCAGTAACAAAAACGATACTTACCTTCCTTCGCGCTTTGCAGTTTCAATTGCAGCATTTAGGCACTCACAAAAGTACGAGAATAACTACAAATAAAACAGGGGACAATGAAACATTTCTTATGAGCAAAAATCGCAAAGTGCTTTGCACAAGGGGTGTGGTCACGTGAGATGTAGCGCAGCAGAAAAGTGGCTGTAAACTGGGTTAGTGAGCTTGGGAAGGCAGAAGCGTCTGTTCTATACTAGCGAGTTACCGGTGTAGAGGAGAAAGTTATATATTTGAGATACCGAAGCCGAGTTTGTGGTGTCAGCCATCTCCTCTTCCCTATACCCTGAAGGAGCGGTAAAATCTGGATATCAGACTCATTCAAAATTCGAATTCCATGAGCGCTAAAAACGCGACTGATTGAGTAACACCACGAAAATAGAAAACAGAAACAAAAAAGGAAACTCGATAACAGAAAGTCTTAGGGCACTTACAATTTGTCAGAACTGGCTGGCCAGACCAGTACAACCGCCAGGAGAATTCCACTTTTAATCAGGACTATCCGGACAGATCTGTTTATCTCTAAAATGTATGCGCGGCAGTGATGGGTTTTTGGTAAACATTTCATTTTCATTATGACCAGTTTGGCCGGCTAGTTCTGACAAAGATACAAGAAGACTGAGAAATCGAACGATGCAAGAAGACTGAGAAATCAATCGATAAAAGAAGAGTGAGAAATCGATCGATACAAGAAGACTGAGAAATCGATCGATACAAGAAGACTGAGAAATCGATCGATACAAGAAGACTGAGAAATCGATCGATAAAAGAAGACTGAGAAATCGATCGATAAAAGAAGAGTGGGAAATCGACCGACAAAAGAAGACTGAGAAATCAATCAATAAAAGAAGACTGAGAAATCGATCGATAAAAGAAGACTGAGAAATCGATCGATAAAAGAAGAGTGGGAAATCGACCGATAAAAGAAGACTGAGAAATCGATCGATACAAGAAGACTGAGAAATCGATCGATACAAGAAGACTGAGATATCGATCGATACAAGAAGACTGAGAAATCGATCGATAAAAGAAGACTGAGAAATCGATCGATATAAGAAGACTGAGAAATCGATCGATAAAAGAAGACTGAGAAACCGATCGATACAAGAAGACTGAGAAATCGATCGATACAAGAAGACTGAGAAATCGATCGATAAAAGAAGACTGAGAAATCGATCGATAAAAGAAGAGTGGGAAATCGACCGATAAAAGAAGACTGAGAAATCGATCGATACAAGAAGACTGAGAAATCGATCGATACAAGAAGACTGAGATATCGATCGATACAAGAAGACTGAGAAATCGATCGATACAAGAAGACTGAGAAATCGATCGATACAAGAAGACTGGGAAATCGATCGATAAAAGAAGACTGAGAAATCGATCGATAAAAGAAGACTGAGAAATCGATCGATATAAGAAGACTGAGAAATCGATCGATAAAAGAAGACTGAGAAACCGATCGATACAAGAAGACTGAGAAATCGATCGATACAAGAAGACTGAGAAATCGATCGATAAAAGAAGACTGAGAAATCGATCGATAAAAGAAGAGTGGGAAATCGAACGATAAAAGAAGACTGATATAGAAATCGATCGATAAAAGAAGAGTGGGAAATCGACTGATAAAAGAAGACTGAGAAATCGACAGATAAAATTCACGACAGCGGTTCAAATAGCAGAAAAAGTTAGGAAACAAGGGTAGTCCCAGAACTTCCCCTCAAACGTACGTTTCATTGCCACCAAACAGGAAGGATCTTTGTACTTACCAAATTTTGTCTTTCCACACTAAGACCCAAAATACGGTTGAGAAATTTTTCCACATCGCTGGCGTCTTTGTCTTTCACCACGAAACTGGCGTCTGTTACTCCCATGGACAGAAGACATTGCTGTGAAACGAAAGAAAACAGGGCTTTGTTAAACTTGAGAGTAATTCAGTCATTTGGACACCTCGGTAAATGTAATGGACCACCTTTGAGAAAGACTTTCTTCATAAGTAACCGCTAATGTGAAACTGGACTACCAATAGCCTACGTCGCATATGTAATCTAACCCCCCCCCCGGGGGGGGGGGTACTTTTTCAGGATTTTTTGGGCGGGGATGTGCCGCCGGGACCCTGTAACCCTTAGCCTATATACTAAAGCTAGTGCAGCTGAAGTTTTCTACCCTATGCTGGACTAAAATCTTCAAATCCTCCTATGCTAGAGTCGCTTTTATGCTGAGTTGCGTAAATTTAAACTTGCCGATTTGATTTTTTCATATTTTGAGAGGCAATTCCAGGTAATGTCTGCGAAACAGCGCCGAGATCCTTGTTCTGGGCCCACAACGGAATAAGCGTTTTGCCAGAAGTGCGTTTCCAGTTTCTTTTCAACCTGATTGGCAAATGGACAATGGCATTTTTAAAAGGCCAATCATGGCGCATATTTGAATCCTGGTACACAAGTGGGGCCCAGAACAAGGATTTCGGCGCTTTTTCGTAGACAGACTTAACCAGAGTTTAGTTTCGTCTATGGCGCGGGCTAGACTACCGAACGAAATGGGCGCTTTGTAGTGCTTTAGTCACGTGGTACAAATACGCCATGCTGAGGAGCAAGAAACGCGATGGGACAAGACAAACAAGGAGCTTACATTTTTCCAAATGCTTATTATTATTATTATAAACAGGCTACTAATGTATCTCCTGTTTCCACAAAGGTTTCCTAAAGCTGCAGAAATTGTTGGTGGTTACAAAATAGCTGTTGGTGTATTGAGTTGCCATTATTCAAGGTCTCTCTAATTTTTCCTATCAAGTCATTTTTTACTGATCGCATTATATGTTATTACAAAATGACGTTTTTCCTTTATCCATTCCCACGTGTTACCCAAAATTTTTATGAAGCAATATCGCTGCCTAACTGCCATATAAAATTGTTTCTGACATCATAAATTTTGTTTCCAAATCCACTTTTAAGGAGAGAAATTAAACAAGAATTTTAACCACGTTCGCGACCAACGAAGTAAAACTCACCCTTGCGATAGAGTTAAACTCTGTGAATTCATGCTTGTCGGGAATTTGTGCTGCTAACAGAACCTTAGACAAAGCAACTCCGGGACAAATGGATTGCTGAAAAAAAAAAAGGCAAAATAAATCCCAAGTTCAAATAAAAAACGCTCGGTCGTAGATGACACAAGCAACAAGCACACATGGTTCTAATTCGTGACCACTTCTGACATACCGATACCGTAAAATCTCACGTTAAAACCCTGGGCTTATATAACGTCTTGAGGGGTTTTGGGTAGGCTTATAAATAGGGGCGGGGGGGATTATATCCGGGGGACTTGTATCCGGAATATGTAATATCTTCGTTAGCAAAGAGATGGACTTAGATCCGGGAGAGGGTTTAAAACCGGGGGGTGCTTTAACGTGGGATTTTTAGCAATTATTCCTCGAGCCCGAATGGGCTCTGAGTCAATAGCCCATGAGGCCTTCGGCCTCATGGGCTATTGACTAAGAGGCCATGAGGGCGAGAGGAATAATTGTTTTAGTAAAATCCAACTAGTTGGTCAAAAATATCGAGAATAAAAAACAATTTAGCTAGTTACTACGCTATTATCTTTTATCCCGAAACAGGCTATCTGACATACCAAAGTAATGGCTTGGTACATGTTCCTGAGTGCAGATCGGCCGTAAGGCGTGTCTAAATTAAACTGCGTTAAGTCGGCCCCAGTCGCTGCTCGTCTGTCACCTTTGGTAAGTGCACCTGCAGGCGAACAAAACAAAAACTTAAAGGGGCTCTGTCATGGCTGTTTAGTTGAATGGATTGATGCTTTTGGCTGGGAAAACAAAAGAAAACCTATGACTTTCTGGCTACCAGTCCAGATGCTCTACCACTGAGCTACAAATGATTAAGGCCACTAAACTAGGTTCACGTGACAAACATCCAGCATACTGCTAGGATAAGAACGTTCTAGATACAGTCGAAGCTCTCGTAAGCGACCACCCCGTCCATTTGGGTAATCCCAAAAGCGTTCACGGCCGCTTACTGGAGTGGTCGCTTACAAGAGCTTTTTAACTAAATTGTTTAAGTCACTGTCCAAACGGGGTTTCACAAAGGTGGTCGTAACTAGACCACGAGAGTGGTCGCATGGAGAGCTTCGACTGTATTCTGCTAGGACTAGTTCTAGACAATCTAGCAGTATTACATACAGGATGTTTACACATGAACTTAGCTCCAAAACTTCTCCTGTGGCTCAGTGGTAGAGCATCTGGACTAGTAACCAGAATGTTATAAGTTTGACCGCCTACTGGGAGTAATCGGATGTTTTTCTTCCAAGCCGCCTGTGTCACTGACTGAAAAATCATATTTCTCATGTATTCACCAGGCTCAAAATTCACCATCCAGAGTGCAAAGAAAGTAGTGTCCGATATCTCGGGGCAAGTGGATTTTGTTATCAGGCTGGTGAATTCTCTTTTTAACTTGCCCGATAAGCAAGTGATGTTTTTTGAGCAATTCGGATAAAGGAAGAACTGTGAAATCAATTCTGCTCGTCAAAAAGCTTTTAGGGCTAGTTAAAATGATGTCTGGGCTAGTAAATGCTAGCTTCAGCTTGCCCGAATGGCAAGCTATAAAAATGATTTTCTTTGCACCCTGCCATCACATCTCTTATCATATTGCATCAGTAGATATCAACATTTTAGTCCTAGAAGTCTGCAGGATGTTTGCCACATGGACCTAGTTTAGTGACCGTAGCTCCCACGTGACCCCTGTAGCTTAGTGGTAGAGCATCTGGCCGGGCTAGTAAACAGATGATCAAAGTTTTAACTCCTGTTGGATGGGTGTACTCGGATTTTTTCATTTCGAGCCGCCTGTGTCAGACTTAAAAATCATCTTTCTCAAACTAATTACCGCTGATACTTGCAGCTTCTTTGTTTTTAGGTCTGATTAGCTTTTTCCTTGCAACTGAGTGAGAATAATTCACAAATACGTCAGATGTTCACGATTTTCCGAGTTTGACAAACATTTAACATTACCTAACGACTGAAGCCGTCGAGCCACAGCCGCGGCAAATCTTCTTTCACCGCCCAAGTTTGTTGTTACAAGTTTATAGATAGGTCCACTAAAAAAAAAAACAAAACAAAGAAAACATTAGAGCCAGTAAAACTCTGGAGAAAAGCGGAGCCCCCGAGCGCGCCAATTAGACGGTGAACATTATCACGTGATATCTCCCTCCTCTGACTCCCATGGTACAAAGGGGATTTTGGCGAAAGAAAAGTGATCATGGGAGTAGCCTGTGTAAAGCCGCCCCCTCCCTTTTCCCGATTTTTCCCAAGGGGAGAAGGCGGCTGTACACAGGATATTATGGAAGTAGTAATATTCCAGGAAAGCCTTCAGATTTTTAATCACAAGGAATTTTATTTTTTGATTTACTAGACTGTCCAATTCTTGGCAGGGTAACCGCAAAAGCGTGAAGCCAAGTATTGTGGCCCGTGACAGTTCCCTTCCACGTGAGAGATAAACCACACCACAGAGGTCTACCTCTCACTCTCTTCTCCAACAGCAGTGTGGGTTCTTTTTACGTCCCCTTCGAATTGTTAAGAAAGGATGAATAAGACAAGGCCAATGGATTAACATCACCGCCCACTGACGTGACTATCAGATCATCTGGACTGAGACAAGATCTTAGATAACAGGCAGCATGATATGATAGGTTTTTTGAAGACCCTGGTTGGTGTTGGGTTTAAACGGCGGGTTTAAACCTGCTTGGCAGAACGCTACCCTTCCAACAAGGCTAATCAAGCGGAGGTACAATTAAAAAATGGTAAACGTGCAGCGCGCAACCATTTCCTTCTTCTTTAGAAAATAGCTTATATCAAAGGGATAGGAACGTTTGTGTTTGGGCAGTGCATGTACCTTGTCTGGTTTGACCGGTGTGATCTTCCCAGTTGCTGAACAGCTTTGTCAGCACTCCAAGGCAGCTCAATGGTCACATGAACACGGCGGCACTGATTGGCTGCTCGGAGATCCGCGTGTAACGAGATACCTGTGTAATTCAATGAGTCTTACAAATGATATCACACAGAATATTGTAATATTAAATCATTTGGAAAACAGTCGATGTACCAGGTGGTATACGACCCCAAGTAAATTATCGTCTTGTCTTGTCACTTATACACGTTATTTATTGCGGTTCCTTTTACCCGAGGAAAACCTTTTATTCCTGCTTGAGTAGAACTTTAAGTCAAGAAACATCACTCTAAATTTCGAGTCTCTACACGAAATTCCAAGTAATGGCAACTCACTTGAACGCTAACAGACACTGAGCCAGCGATTCTTTGTGTGAAAATAACTTCAAGGTTGCCCTCAAATTTCAAGTATTAAAAGAATTTAAAAAGTGCAAGGTTTAATCCAGGTAACTTCAAACGAATCAAGATGCAAAGGGAACCTACCAGTGCTGGCGGCATCAGATATGATGGCAACAAGTTTTGTTCCATTCATAAAACTGTTCCTCTGTGATACAATGCAATCGAAAAAACAACGTTGAATGTTCAGATATACTCCAACAACTCTCTAAAAACTGTGGTATTTAAAGACGCAGTTCTTGAGCTTCAAGCAATTGCTTTGTGCCGACTTAGTTGTCATAGCGAAAGCGAAAAATACTGGGGAATGAAACGAAGATCCGAAACCGGATTGCTACCTGAATTTAAGGCATAAGAGTTCAGATTTAGAGTAAGACTTTAAGGTTGGACTACACTTGAAAACTTGTAATCCCAGGAACAACTAACAAACACAAGCACTAGGCTGTCTTTCTGGCGCTGAAACGACGGTCCTGTTTTTAAATGTGAGGGACAAAGGCAGAGTTCATCCTCGGAGACCCAGGGGCAGTCAGTTAGGTCGGCAGAAACGGTGCGACGAGTCGTGCGACGAAAGTTTTCGATCTGGCTGTCTGCTCTAGGGTCTTGGCTGAGGATGACGTCTATGCTGATCACTGTAATTACCGACTGTAAATCGCATTTTCTACCATTTTATTCGGAACACGGCGCAAGATTTAGTTCTGATCACTTTGCTCACCTCTTGAATATTCAAACTATCCACATTGCTGCCGTCTGATTCTCGAGCCTCGTAATGAGGTTGAGGCTGCTTGTCAGTTTTTACCACGCGACCACGCCTGCCTGTCATTTCCGCTACTTTTCCTGGTCCTCCGATCTGGTTTATAAGGTCATCAAGAGGACTAGAGACAAAAATAAGTCAAAAAGGTACGAAGGTAACGTCTGCGTTCGAGCCAGGTAGCCCATTTGGCCGTAGCACATTCCGATCTCCATAGCATGAAGCGACTAGGAATATTTTTGGTCTTCCTTGGACGGGATAGTAGTCAATAACAGGATCCCTGCCACCTCCACCCAGGATTAAATCTTTTGGTACCCAACTTTATACACCTGGGTGAAATGAGACAGTGTATGGTAGTCCATAACAGGATCCCCCCACCTCCATCCAGGATTAAATCTTTTGGTACCCAAATTTACACACCTGGGTGGAGTGAGACAGTGTATGGTAGTCCATAACAGGATGCCCCCACCTCCATCCAGGATTAAATCTTTTGGTACCCAAATTTATACACCTGGGTGGAGTGAGACAGTGTATGGTAGTCCATAACAGGATCCTTTGCATCCCCACCCAGGATTAATCCCAAAAATAAGGCGGCAAATTTGTTATTTTAGAATATTTTAAGCACTGAAACTGGTTTCTGTCGTCTGTTGCAACGGATGGCAAGAATGGGCATGGATTTAAACTTGAAAACGTTGTACCATATTGTTCAAGTTTTAATGCTTTGCCTGTAACAGTCACCCAAAAAATTAGTGGTTAGTGCTCTATGATTAAAAATTTGTTTGTATATACTCAATAGGTAAGGGCAAGAAGTAATGAATTGACCGAAAACAGCAATTTGCTCATGCCATGGCCCCTTTAAAGGGGGTTAAAGAACTTAACATTCATACAAACCTGACTGGGAGATTAATTTTCTTGACAAAACCTTGAAGAAGATTTTTAGCCTGAACACTCCACTGATCTTCAACAACATCGCCGTTCTACACAAATACACAAAAGCCTTGAATTTTTTTCTTTTTTATTTACTTAACATAGTTCAAAACGAAAACAAGACTATTAGACTGGACTTCAGTGGCTTATGAATTACAACAGGAGAAGCACAATCAAATCTTTGAGATGTGAAACGCAGAAAGTGTATTAATGTTGAAAAATTATCCATTGGTTGTGTGATGTATCATCCTTGAGATTAGCCTGCGTAGCTGGTGGGATCAAAGCGCATGAACATTGTTGGGCGACGCTGAAGTCGCAAGGGGAAATAAAAAATGTTCTCTCATCTTCAAAGCCAAAACCAAAGCGCTCGTGTAATTGAGCACTCGCGTGAGCTAGATCCCAACAGCTAAGCAGGGTTCTTCGGAATTACTCACCGATTTAATTATCTGAGTTGGAAAATACTGCGTGATAAACCTGCTGATGATTTCTTCTGTACTTGAGACAAAGCCATTCAGTATTCCACCACAACGTGATATTTCACTTTCCAAACTTGCCTGACAAATGAAATGATGACCACACCCTTAGCGACACACCAGTGTCGTAAACGCCAAACCCTAAATTCAAGCACCCACTAACTCATGATCATCAGGGAGTATCAGCAACGACAACGGTGGTGCGAAAAGTGAATTCAGTTTACGCCGTTTCAAAATTCATCGTTGTTATTCCATGTCGTTCAAGGCAAATGTTGCTGAATTTTTCTGGAGTTGGATTCTAAAGGACATTCTTTATAGTCAGTAATAAAAATGGTTTTGTTGTGTTCACGTCCTCCAGAAAACGTGCAATTCACAAAAAAGCGAGATGGATGTACAAAGTTATTGTTTTGCTAATCTAAACCTATTGCTTCTTGCCGTTCTCGTTGCCGTTGCAGTCGTTGTTTAAGCTCCCTATTTACTTAATCATCTACTTTGTGCCTCAAGATACATAGCTAGAGTTGCAAATACAAGTCGGTCATGGGGCAATGCCTGATGAAAATTGACAAAACTAGCCCATGTACTATGCAGTCTAATGAACTGTGGTCTATCATATTTTCTGGACAAAAATTAATAGAATGGCTATGGACTATCACAGTCCAGATGAGCAAAATCCGCCTAAACACAGGTGGATTGTTGCGCCAACAAACGAACATTATTGCAGTGAAAATGTGGCCCGTGTACAGGGGCCCCTTCTCCGATTTTTTCTGAGGGGAGGGTGCGGCTGTACACAGGCTATGAACAGGTGGAAGTTATGATACGTTCAGCGAATTGTTTTGTACAGAGTTAGACACAGTGCGTCCTCCAATGATTTCAACCAATTTTTTTGTTTTGTCCAACTGACTTGATCGTACATAAGTCCTTTGAAGAAAGATAAAATACTTGCAGCGATAACTTTGCATCAAGTGCATCTACCTATGGAACCTGCAATGTGAGGGGCGAACAATTATTTGGTACGTACTTTCTACTAACCTTGCAAGAAGATCTCAGTGTCTCAAACATTACGCTTTAAAATTAAAACTGGCTACCGTTGAATTAAGGAATTTTTATGGTATCAGAAATTGTAACCCGTACGAAAAAAAACTGGAGAGAAAGAGAAAACAAACCTCTCCAGTGGACTGGAGACCAATGACCACACAATATCCTGCCTGCAATGCTTGCTGGGCTTCTTCCACTATGGTAGGAACTTTCATACTCATGCTGTAAAATATTCATATACATCTTATCTGTTAACAGACCCAATATAAGCAAGGTTACAAAATAAAAATGCCTGCTGGCGCTTAAAATGGAACATGATAGTGGCAAAATTGTCCCATGTGATTATTATACGTTTCTGGGAAACTGCCCACATACCCCTCCCCTAAGCCAACATCAACACTTACTTCTCACTCAGGGCAAAATGTTAGCTTGAGGGAGGAGTAGGTGGGCAGTTTCCCAGAGATGTATAATGATCCGCCCAGGATCAGGTAATCCGGATTTCGGAATCCAGGAAATATTTCCGTGTGATAACCGGAGTCCTGGGGCGCTTTCCATTTAGCCAAAATTTCCGGTTCAACCGGTTGAAATGCAAATGGAACGCGGGGTTCCAGAGGAAATTTTCCGGAACAGACGGACAACCTTCGGAGCTGCTCCACTTTTTTCGTTGCAACCGATCGGAACGGAAACATGCCGTTCCATTTGCACGACGGCGAGATTTTTCCCGCCATTTCCAATGTCCTGTGAGCGGGCCGCTCACTGACTTACCTGTAAAATTGATGTTGTTGTAAAAATGGCAGAAAGGAGAGAAGGCGAAAAAACGGTGGGGTTGCAACAAGACGCCCAAAAAGATGACGATGGAGGTACATTTGGACATTTTTAATACTATTCCTAATTGCGGCTGTAACAAGCTACTTCAGTTTAAACATTTTGTATGTTTTTTCACAGGTCTATCACACTCGATGCTTGAACGATGGGAGGACTTTCACGTAAAACTTCTTGTCAGTTGTTGGCAAAAGCAGAGGCTTGAATTCGGAAAAGGGAAAGCTACCAAAAAGGACATATTCAACAGAATTGCCAATGAGTTCAATAGTATTTCTACTGACGTGAAGGTCACTGGGGAGCAGTGTAGTCGTAAGTGGCTCAAGCTTGAAGCTTCCCACAAGAAGATAACGGACCACAACAACACCACGGGAGCCGACAAGAAAACTTGGAAATTAAATACTTCCATGAAATGGAGTCTTGTATCGGGGGAAATCCAAATGTACGACCGAAGTTCACTTTGGAGAGCAGCAGCAGCACTGCAGACGTCCTTGCGGACGAAGACTCCGAGAAAAGTGGAGATGATGAAGACCAATGTTCCGCGGCCGAGAGCTCTAGTACAACAAAACGAAAAACCACTGGAAGTGGCTGTAAACGCCGGAAAAGGAAAAGAAAATCAAAATCTTCGGCTGCAGAGATGCTGACATTCCTGTCATCTTACGCAGAGCAACGTGAGGAGAACGAAAGAGAAAAGATGGAGTTGATGAAGGAGGCGAAGGAGGAACGAAAGAGCTTTTTTAACCAGTTACTACAAATTATGAGTAAGCGTAAATGAGATGTGCCCAGCCAAGAGAGCATTGTTAACGTCTTTAAAGTTAACTGTGTGTCTTATGGTACAGATTTTATAGAAGACTGAATTGATGCTTTAAAAGTTTGAAACCATTAATATTTTCGGAGATTTTCACGAATATTGGTGCTGGTGGTGTAATTTGCAAATAGTCTTGTGCTAATTTATCACCTTTACATGGGTATACAAGTCCGCAGTGAGGACAGTGGTATGAATAATTATAAGATATTTCTCATGTTTGATTTTTATTTTGTTTCAATGCTTCAAAATGTACATTTCAACTAATATTTGAAAAAAATAAGTTCTGTAATTTCTGCTACAAACTTGGATACATTGTACTTTGTGACAAA